CAGGAATGTTTCGCTCAGCTGTATTCTGGTTCTGCTGTGCTGGGGTGAGCTGAGCAAGGCTGATTTGACTCATGGGCAGTCTAGCTCAGTGCACTGGCTATTGAGGAGCTGCTGCAGTGCACTGCTACGGCCAAGTGCTTGACTAGTGCAGGCAGTGCCTTCCCAAGTGCTTAAGAGTAGAAACAAAAAACCTCTGTGATTTGGAGCAGCTCAGCTCCTAGATCAGCTGAGAAGATCTTGCTGCTTTGCTTATAGCTACAGCTTGCCATGACTAGGCAGCTTGGTCTTGGCTCCTTGCTCCCTCCAGGAGGGAGTACTGAGTGGCTCAACCACCAGCTGGCTTACGTAGTCTCCGATCGATCTGTGCAAACAGTTGCCATGGTCTCCGCTCACTCCTGCATCAGGGAGGTCTTGCTCCTCCACTCAGGCCTGTCTGATTGCCCGGAGAGCTGCTCCAGAGCCAAGCGGTCACAGGCCATCTGTGGGAGCGGGGACGAGTCAGCTCTGGGGAGACGGGCCAAGCAAGGCTAACGTTTGCCAGCCGAGCAGCTTGGAGCTCTCTCCTCAAACCGCTGGCTTGTGCCTGTGCGTGGCCGGCATCTCTGATGGACAGGGCTCGAGGAGCAACAGCCTCGCTTGTGCCCAGAACTGAGGCCATCAAAGATAACCCTCCTGTTTTTCCCTCTGAGCCATGTGTTCCTCTAGCACTCCTCCTCCTGCTCAAGGAAGGCCAGCTGGGCTCAGGCTTGCTCATGTGAGCAGCAGATGGGTAAGGAAGGGCTAATTGAAGCTGACTTGGAGATGACAGAAGTGGAGAGAGCCCAGCTGGACCCTCTGGCAGGAGGCATTTGGAGACAGCAGCGTAACGCCCTGGAGCTCTTCTGCCATGCTAACACCTGGAACATAACCGTGGATGTGCACTTGTCTCCTGCAGGGGCTTCACTTTCAGCTGAGCTCCACTTCCCCCGGCAAAAATACCACCTAATTCTCTCGCACCCAGGCTGCACCCAAGCGGAGGAGCCTTTGCAAGGCTGGGGCAGCACTGCAGGTCCCTGGTGCCTAGAGACAGAGGTTTCTTCCACCGCTGCGGCCCATGACCCTGAGGGGAGGCTGCTGTCTTGAGCCCGTGTATCTGTGCAGGCTTCTTGAGGGGGTGCTTTCTGCCGGGCAGAAGTGGTGCCCCTTGGGCTGCCGTAATGGTCCACCATAGGTTTGGTGCTTCCTCTAATAAACCAGAGCGATGCAGGTCCTGGGAGGGCCCGGCAGTGGTCCTGGTATTTGCAGGAGAGGGCTGTATGGCCCTCGTATCCGAGTCCTCCGGAGAAGGAAGCAGGGTGCTGCCCACGCGCAGGGGGCTGTGACTGTCTGCCTTTTTCTGGCTGAGTGCGAGAGCAATAGCATTCCTTCAGGATCTGCCCAGATCTGTCTGACTCCATCTGGTTCCTCCCTGGTGGGACGTGTAAGCGGCAGTACGGGAGAGGAGAGGCTGTTCGGACCAGGGCGGCTCCTCAAGCTGCTGTGGCTCGCTGAACAGCGCTTTTTGGCACAATTATTCGTCACCTCCCAGTTCTTGCAGGATCGATCTGTGCTGTGGGAACAAGTAGTGTGCTACAGGGAGGACAGTTTGTTGGTGGCACTTTCCTTCCTGTGCTTTACCTGTTCTCCTGCTGCGTCCAAACGCTCTTTTCCAGTGTAGCAGCTATTGCTTTTGCTTTGTGTGTGTGTGTGCATCTCTCCTCTCCGAGAGTGCTGGTCCCTGCTTGTTGTTGGCCTCTGCCTGTGTTCGTCTTCCCTGTTGTCCTGCTGTCTTTGTGTGTTTCTAACTGACTGTGCTATCTCTGTCTGTCTCTATCTCAGCTTGACGTGGACGACGAAGCAGCGGTACGCACACATTTTCTTTCATTGGGTCTGTCTCCTCGTTAGCAACCTCTCTTTTATTGTTTTTGAGGGTGGCACACGCTGCAGCTGGTGCAGCGGTGGAGGCCCAGGCACTGTTCATCTCGGTCAGAGCACCCTCGGGTGTTCGTGCGTCTGCGTGTGTTGCACTGACGGGCAGCAGGGAACGTGTGCGTGGGCTCCTGGGA